GGTGCTCTCGCGCGGGGTGGGGGGGGGGGACTCTGAAACTTCCCTGGCTGCTTCTTGCTCCTCGTGGCCCAACTGAGGGCTGCTGGGAGCAGGGGGCGGGGCTTGTTGCATGTGCCCACCCCCTGGGCTCCTTACTGCTGGAGCTCCGCTCCTGTGCGCTCCCGCAAAAATTGACCCCTGATTATTAGTATGCAGAGGCAGCCCACCCAACAGGTGTACCTGAGGGACTGTCTAGGGACCCAGAGGGACCAAAAGAGGCTCGCCACTGGCAAGCGACAGCCTTGAGTCATGCTGCTAGACCCAGCAGCCCACCCAGGTCCCCCTGCTTGCTTTCCCCCTGCCCACTCTGCCTGCATGAAGGAGGGAGGAAGAGCAGCTCCACCACGTACGGCTCTGCTCTCTCTGGCTTTGTTGTGGGCTCAGTGGTTGTCGCAACCTGCCTTCCCTTGCAGAGGAGAAAGAGAAGCAGGAAGCTGCCAGCTCCGCCACTGCCAGGCTCGACTCTCCCCCCCTTTTGGAGGGCTCAGGGAGTGCCTGGGCTGGCCCAGTTAGCAGGATTTGATTTCCCACAGTTCCCTCAAATAACTTACAAGATGCTTTGCTCTGAGTTGATTCTTTTAGATCCATGGTTTCCTGATGAGGTCTCTGAACATACTGAACTTCTGGCTTTGACTGAAATTACAAGACAACTTCCAAAGTACATATACAGTCCTAAAATATACCATTAACAAATCAACAAGCACGATCAAGAGACACATGCATTATACCTAACAATTTATAAATGCCCCGCATTTAAACAAATAATCCAGTAATCCCAATGGAAAATGACCAAATTATACTAGGTAGCTTCTTGATTTATAACTGAACTATAAACACCAATACATCCTTTAAACTCTGTACAGCAGAACAAGCTAAGAAGTACCTGGAATATCACTATTTTGCCATCATCAGCTTGAAGGTAGAAAGTCCATGAGGAAGTAATGAAACTGTGGGCTGTTTCCATCATATCACTCCAGAATGATCTTACAAGTGTAAGGGGGAATAGAAGATGGATTCTTGGCATCAGGGACATGAGCTGCAAATAAACAGCTTGTTAGTTTTTAAACTATTTTTACATGTTACTGAAGTAACAAAATTAAATGAATTAAACTTAAACCAGCTCTTCTCGCCACCATTTGTATTTAATACAGCTGAAGAATGGAAGTGCAAACATTGAAAAGGTATTCACTGATTTTTAAAAAGTTAAATACTCACTTGCTCTTGTCTCAGTTCAGCATATGGCAACTGATTCTGACATCCCAGACGGCAAGCATATTGTTCATCAGACTGAGAATATGCTTCAGTACATGCTGCAAATGAAGATGCATACTCTCAGTACTAAAGGTCACACCTTCCAGGTCATAAACTGAAGCACGCTTGGATGTTAAACTAACATGCCATTCTGTGCTGCTGCTGTTGCTGCTGGATCCTACTTCCTGATACTCATCCCCCCAAAGGAATGTGTCAGAGGTGAGGCAGCTGTGCCAAAACCAAAGGGAGAGTTATATTTCAGAATTCAAGAATGATGCAAGAAGAGAACTCGCAAAAAGAAACAGGATGTGTTGGACAAAATGCTTTCTGCTTCACTTTTTATAGGACCTTGGACTACACATACCAGTTTCAGTTTTGGTATTACTCTTAGGATACTGCATATTTTGGCAGTTTCAAAATTTTAAGCCAAAGAATACTATCATAAAGAAAAAGAAAAAATGCCAGAAGACAAAGAAAATCTTGCAGAAACGTATGTGAACACCTGGAAAAAACAAGGGGGAAAATTCATTTAAAAAGTGTGTGCCCTTCCCATTAGGACTTTAAAAAAAATCAATACAAAAAATTGGAAAGTTTTGAGGACGACGGAAAAAAATCCAATGATTTCCCCCCCTCCTTTTGAAATGAGTGTAATGTAACTCACTCAAGATGTATAGCTGAAAAATCCAGAGAATTCCGACCCTCATTTTTTTCAATGAGAAAATTAGGAAATATTGGGGAACACTAAAAAACTCCTTGCTGAAAATGTTCTTTGGTTTCAGCGTTTATTTCTTCATATCTCTCATTGCAAAAAATAAGAAACATATGCTCACCACTTTGGATGCAGCAGTTTTCAGCTGTCTCTCAAGTACTGAGTACATTTGCAATTCTGTTTGTAGAAAACTAAGGCATTTATACTTTAAATTCTAAAATTTTACTTAATTTTACCTGTTAAATTTATATGAAAGCAGCAAAATATGTTTAGTATTTATAAAAAGTATTGTATGCATTTCAATTTTTCTCAGAATACCTGTCCTCCCCACTCCCCAATCTTGGCTTCATAATTTCTGGAAATTTTACATCTCTAACATTGAGCAGGTAGATGGCCTCCCCCACCCCCACCCGCCTTAAACTAGCAGAAAGTGTCACCAAGTCAAACACTAGCAGTCTCATGGAAAGTGCTGGTTATATTACTAGAGGAAAGCAGTTCGTTGCCTCACTACAAAAATGAAGCCAGAATGCCACAGAACAGAAGTTGCCACTCCTTAAGCGCCAACTCATCAGTCTTCCTCCATTCCAGAAATTTATTCTGTGAGTAAGGACTGCTACTGCTAGACACAAACTCTGACCTATTTTATCATCAGAATTCCATTCAGATTTCTGGCAATTAGAGGGCATGCTCATAAAATGCACCTACACCAGCAAATCTTAGCAGTTACAATGTACTTAATGGATATCCACATTAGATTACATCACTATACAGCTACCATAGGACACAAAAGTAATTTTATATACAACTGACTTCAGGCTTAAGATACCAGTAAGAGAGAACAGAACAGAAGCATCCTTTTATGGCAAGCAGTTTGGCAAGATATATTTATTTTCTACAGTATAGTCCTGAATTTCAAACTCCTTTAACTCAGTTCTATGTAGCATTAACAAGCCACTACTTGTTATCCACAAGCTATGACCTATTTAACCATTAGAATCCCCTTTTACCAGCCCATAATTTAAGTGCCCAGTGAATTGTTGCCTTTTACACAGTTGAGAAAAATATGTCTCCTTTTCCCCCTTCTCCCCTCAACCGGGCCATTTCCACACAGGTAATTTTGGATAGGGTTGGGAAGTGGGTTTTCCCCCCTAGTTCTTCACAGCATTGTAGTGCTTTTGTGCACAACCCAAGATTTCTGTGACTTTTCTGCTGTTTCTCCGAAACGTCCTTCTCCCAAACTTCTCACAAATGATGCACTATTAGCACTTCAGAAAATCGCACAAATGCACACTGTATGAGAAACAGTTTGGATTGGTCAGATCTTATAAAACTTACTCAGAAACTTTATATTTCGTGCCCAGTTCTGCTTGTACACAGCACTACCTTCATGACAAATGCAAACATCTCCAACATGGCATAAAAACGGTCTTGTCCCGACAAACAGAAAAGAAAATGGCTTTGTGACTGACAACTTCCTAGTTATGTTTGCCTTACAATATATCTTTGGGGGCAAAGTAGAATAGTATTTAGCATTGTACTATTGCGAAAACAGATAATAAAAACATATTAATGCATTTTAAGCTACAATTAATATATAGATCTTATATCTGATTTCTGTTGGGCAATTATATTTCTAGAAACTTCTCTAATGAAAAAGCTACCATTTAAAATACACTTACGGTATCAAGATCTTTTCTGATGGGAGGAAATGTTACTTATCCTTGTAGACAATTTTATTATTTTAATTTTAACAAGTCAAATACATGTTATTCTACCTGTATTAGAATATGCTATTTTAAATGTAATTTATCCATTAACCACAGAATCCCTTGATAAAGGAACATTTGTGGCCGGAAATATGTTGGGCCTTCAGAGACTAACTTTTTGAAAAAGTTAGAATAAATCTGTTCCTACTCCTTTAGACGAACCATTTGCTGCGTTGTGCTGCCCAACCATTAACCATAAAGCTGTGACTGCATCTTTGGTCAAATTTATATCTACTTCTAAATATTCTCAAAAAAAGATGCTGAATGTCTTACCAGAATCACACTCCAGTTTGGTCTGATTCAAATCAACACCATCATCTACAAACTGGCAAATGGAGAAAAGTCTGCAGCCTCGCTGACATGCATAAAGCTCTTCTTCCTAGTAATTAAATACCAATAAGTCAAACTCACTCTTTTCATAATCCCAAAATTTTCAAAAATTTCTTACATCAATGTACCACAGAAGCACACAAAGTGTACTGTACTTGTCATTTTATCAAATTATGCTTCTTTAACAAGAACCAGGAGACTGAGTCAGGTTTGTAACAGAGAAGACCACTAACAGTTTATCAGGTTCGATTCTACCAGTCTTCTGCTGATGCAAGAGCAAAGACCTCACCAAAGTGTTCTCACTATGCGCGCACACTGCTCCATATTGCTGTTTTCCATGTGAGTCTCCTAATCCAAGCACAGCTTTTTCAAGGGTCAAAAGGGCTGCTGTGGGAAGGGCAAAGTAGGGATAGATCTTGAGTCTGTATGGCTTCATTGCAGTAAAATACAAATTGGATGTAAAGCCAACATAACATAAAACATTTGAAAAAAGTCTGGAAACAAACAATTACAGTAGAAAATATTTTGTACTGACTTTGGTACAAATGTTGTGGGTGTAAAAGATCTAATCAGCAAGGGGGGAAAACCCATAGTTTCCTTGTACTGGATAGGGTATATAAAAATGGACAGTCCAGACAAGATCTGACAAATCTAGGTCTGTTTAGCTGATATGTATTTGTTTGACATCTGTTGGTTAGCTTAACAGATCAGCTCATTAGAAGCAGCCATAGGAGAAATGGTCAAATAAAGACAGTGCAACGGTAACAAGAACTTCTGCATAAGAGATGATGCATAAAGAGCAGTGTTCTAGAACACTGAAACCCCAGCTGTAGAGGAAGAAAAATTCTGAGTTAGGAAATAAATATAACTTCATTTAAAATACTGCTCTCAAACATTCTGCTTCATCAGCAGTGTGCACTATGTTCTAATTTTTAAAATGTCTTTCCACTTCATAATATGTTTCTGTATCCATTACACTTTTTGCATATACTGAATCACAAATCAATTCAAAATGCAAAAGTTGTGTTCTTTGGTTCTAAGAATCAGGGCAATCCCATATATGCATGCAGTCACTGATCTTCCTTCCTATAATACCCACTGGACAAGTGACATACGAACGATAGGCTTATCAAGAGATAAACCTCTCTTAAAGCTTCTCACTCCTGTTATACTTACCAAGTTACATAACTGCCATGTAAATATGTCTTCAGCCATTCTAGTGCACACAAAATCATCCTTAAACAACAATTATCTTTTCACCACTGACTGCTAATCATACTTCCCAAAATATTTCTTTCTCTAACAACAATGAAGGCTCCATATAACACAGGGAAATAATTCCAGTTATCACCTTACATTAAGTGGTGGAACAGCAAAGAAATAACCAGTGTCTAAGGATAGAGATACACAAAGTTAACTATAACACAATATGAAGGGAGGAATTCTGAAACAGACCTTTACAGTGTTTTGAGAGAAGTTCCTGGACTGGTGCATCACTGTGGAAAGACCTTGGTGCAACCAGCAGAACTTACTTGAGAATGCAACTACTAAGGAAGCAGTCGGCATTTTGCTAGGTAACACAAACTATACAAATACCATAAGGGGTGATGGATTTAGGGGTGCAAGTTCTCTAGCTCCCAGTAACGGGATAGGAGTAGTTAGAAGATAAGGGTTTCCCTTCATTGGGTATGCCCCTACTCTGCAGCAAACAGACACTAAACTGCCGGATTGCTGAGTTCTGCCACAACATACTATGTCATATGCTGGAGGACATGTGCTGCAGGACGTGTAAGAGACAACAGCCATAAGCATTAATTCTAATTTTTCTGTGCACTTCTTTGTGTCATATCGCTCCCCATACCACAGTCAACAAACAATGCTGTCTATGCGCCACCCAGGATCTTTGAAGCCAGTTGCTGGTAACTGCATTTACTGGCAGGTGGGGTCGAGTGACATCCCTCTGGAGTGAGTGTGCTAAGAGATCCCCTTGTGAAGGTGTAAAAATAGGGGGCTGAAGGGCACAGCTTATTGCAACGGGGGCAACCTCAGGGTCTTTCCCCATTACCTTGGGGTAAGTATGCAGCGGGTAGGTACTCTGGCAGGTCCGCTGGCACGGAGCAGTACTTCCCAGCGCCGGCTCAAAACCCTCGGAAAGCGAGGCAGGAACAGGCTCGTCAGCAGCCCAAGCGCCCTCGCAACCAAAGGAGAGCAAAAGGAAAAAAGAGCTTAGCCCCAAACGGCCCCGCCGCGTCACCGCCATCTTGTTGTCAATCCAACTAGACGCGTACACAGTCGTTTGTTGTTGTGTTCCTTTTTTTCCCCACTTCCTGTTTCCGGGACCCCTGGCAGGAGGCTACAGATGTATCACGAGAGTTCGGGCCGTTGTACGCCGCGAGACCTGACGGGAAATGTAGTTTTTTTCGCCGAAGGGCGATGCAGTCGCGGAAATGAATGTGGAAAGACGATACGCTTTTCGAGGTAAGGGTGCTCTAACCTTAATGTGCCTGCTAAATTAGTCCTTCCCTGCCCCATTCGGAGTAAGAAGGTATCCTCTGTCCATCCATTTCAGGCAACAGCCTCCGTCCCCCCCCCCCCCCCCGCCTGTTCTTTAATTCTTGAGACATCCCTGTCAGGGCCTCGGGTGTAAGACTACCTGGAAGCAATGCACCTATATAATGGACATGCTTCCTTTCCTCTGAAACAAAGTTTTGTTTTTTTGGTGACACGTCAAGCCTGTTTTAAATACCAGGGCTCAGCAATATTAAATATTGCTACTGAATATTATTAAACATATTATGTAGCAGTAAAGAAGCAACTGCTTACCACTGAATGGTAGCTTGCACAGACATAGGGCACTAAAGCCATCTCCAATCACCATTCCTTTCTTCTGTCAGTCCTCAAGTTACTTTATTAGATGTAATACCAGAATCAAGATCAACCCCTTATGTTTTTCTGAAGAACAGTATAGCAAAGCATCTCTTCTTTCACACTGATTTTTTAATTATAATCAATGGCTTCTTCCTGTTTAAGGCTTGCATCATGGATAAGTTTGTCGTACGGAAACCCAGAACTCAAGAATGTCCTAAGAAGAAAGATCCCGGAGAAAAGATTTACAAGCAAGCCACTTTAGAGTCTCTGAAGGTAGGGAACTGGATATCCTACCACTGACAGCAAGGTTATCCTTTCATTTCAGGTAATCTGTCAGCAATTTTGGAGCTATGCATCGCAATGCAGGAACTATTTTCAGAGGTGTTTAGGCAGAATCCAGTAGGGCAATCAATACTCAGAAGAGGGGGGGAAATCACAAAGGACATTCCTTTCAAAATGATAAGGACAAAATCTTTCATTAAAAATGGCACAGAGTATATGATTATGTTTTTCTAGGGCAGTGGGAACTGTATCTCATACATTGTAAGTACCATTTACAAGGCACATATGCCAGAGAGGCCCTGCAATGCTTGTAAAGCTACCAATAGGACTTCAGCAAGATTGCTCTCTGTGTGCAATTTGGAATGTTAAGCATATCAAAAGAGAGCCCAACATCTTAATTTTTCAGAGTACGGTGTTTCATTGACAGCAAAACACTAAGCAATCTTTGGGAAGACAAGACTACTGGCTGTTTCCACATTGGGGATTTGCCACAAATTTGATGCAATTGGGAACTGGATATTTTTCTTGCTTCCCCATAGGATTGTGGTGCTTCTGTGTACCATCTGGGTTTCCTCAGTGTTTCTGCAGTCCTTTCCAAACTTGCTTTGATGTCCCCACAGCAGCCGCCCCACTGCCATCAATAATTTTTTTTTGCATTTTTTAGGAATAATTGAGAATTGGCAAATCAATATAATAGTATATTGGTATGTTTATTGGCTGTTTTTTATTAAAAACTTTGAAACATTTCTTCCCCATAGTGTGGATGGGGGAGGGTGCCATGGGGACTGAGGTAGGAAAAATGCAGGAAAAGCTGCAATCTGGAAGCCCTGTTGCCTCTATGCTGCATTGGCAGCTGCAGCAACACCAGGGCTTCCACAAGGAAATGCTGCGATACGGTCTACTTTATAAACAGCTTTTGCAACCCAAGTTCTATGAAGCATATACACTGCAGCTGGAAAATGAGACATCATGCAAGAAGTTTTTAAAAAAGCAGAGATGACAAAAGTAGATTTGGAAGCCATCAGTATAAATTTGGTGGGAATAATTATAATTATAGGATGAAGGAGACTTGCCTTGGCGGTAGTATGTGTGAAAAAGATCTAGGGGTCTTAGTAGACCATACAGTGAACATGAGTCAGCAGTGTGATGCGGTAGCTAAAAAGGCAAATACCATTTTGGGCTGTATCAACAGAAATATAGTGTCCAGATCACTTGAAGTGATGGTTAGACCTCTGCTCTGCTCTGGTTAGACCTCACCTAGAGTATTGTGTTCATTTTTGGGCACCCCAATTTAAGAAGGATTTGACAAGTGGAATGTGTCCAGAGGAGGGCAACAAAGATGGTGAGGGGTCTGGAGACCAAGTCCTATGAGGAAAGGTTGAAGGAGCTGGGTATGTTTAGCCTGGAGAGGAGATGACTGAGAGGTGATATGATAACCATCTTCAAGTACTTGAAGGACTGTCATATAGAGGATGGTGTGGAGTTGTTTTCTGTTGTCCCAGAAGGTCGGACCAGAACCAACAGGTTGAAATTAAATCAAAGGAGTTTTCAGCTAAACATTAGGAAGAACGTCTTGACAGTTAGAGCAGTTCCTCAGTGGAACAGGCTTCCTCAGGAGGCGGTGAGCTCTCCTTCTTTGAAGGTTTTTAAACAGAGGCTAGATGGCCATCTGACAGCAATGCTGATTCTGTGAACTTAGGCAGATCTTGAGAGGGAGGGCAGGAAGTTACGTGACTGGACAACAATGTATATGGCTAGTGTCAATAGTCAGCAAGGTGGTGCAGTTGCCAGGGCCTAAGGCAACTTCCAACACTGGCCACTGGTGCAGGGAAGCTAGCTCTGTCCTCCTTGGCCAAAGGGGAGAGGCCGATGTGGGAAAGAGGAGTGGCTGGAGAGGAAGCATTGGTACCAAGGGTCAAGGGGGGCTTGGTTATTGCCCACAGTCCACAAAAACGTGGAGCCGGCCTGTTAGTGTAGCTTGGTAATGAAGAGAGCAGTAAATAAAAGATGGAGCTTGTAATGCACAGGGTTATGAGCAAATTGGACACTGAAACAGAGTGCAGATGATGAGAATCAGTAATGGTTGTGGTTTGAAAACGAAGTCGACACATGCTAAGTGTTCTTGAGGGCATTCTGGGCTGGGGTGGATAACTGCTGATGGACTGGGATACATTGCATAGCAAGGATCTTGGATAGTGAGGTACTGAAGAACAAGAGCTAAATTTGGGAGGAAGGGTTGACAAGTGTATGAGGTGTTCTCATGCTTTTTCAAAAAATATCTGCTCAAGTACTTACTTCAGAATAATAAGTGGATTGAAAGTGGCAGCCTAATGAGCTTATTTTGCTCTCTGGATTTCTGTGCCTTGTTTTAACATGAGGGACTTGCTGTGAAGTGAGTATTCCTCTGTTTGGCTGATCAGGGATTCTGTTCTTGACTGACTCTCATCATCAATAATTCATGGGTCAATAACTGCTGTATTAGCTGGCGCAAAGCAGAATACCTTTATTTGCAATAAGCATGCATGTCTCTGTCTCCTAATGATAATTTTCCTTTCTAGAGAGTTGTGGTTGTAGAAGATATAAACAGATGGAAATCTATGCTAGAGCTTTCAGTTCAAACTAAAGAGAATCTAATTGTGGCCTTAGAAGAACTAAGGAAAAAAATTCCCTCCAAAGAAATTCTCCGTTCCACAAAAATAGGTAAATCATTTTTTAAAAAGATTTTGTTGGCTGCATATGTGGCTATTGGTAGGAATTACTTACATGCATCAGATGCATTCCCTTAGAAACACCGTTTAACCAAAGTTGGTTTTTTTTAATATTGTGGCTTTTAACCTGATAGGCACAGGGAAAGACCTTTTCTATCTAACTATTAAAAGCATTCTGTACCTTTTCCACTCACTGCCCTTATTAGTTAGATTAGAGAAAAATAGATTAGAGGGCGGAAAGGAAATTTTCCCTGTGCTGGCCAATTTAAATTGTTGTGTTTTTAAAAAGTGCCTAATGAAGATCAGTAACTTTTTTTGAAAAATCTAAGAGTTATTCTGTAACAGCAACTGCTGTATTGAAGATAACAGATAAAGCACCTCTAACCATCCTAACCCATCAAGTGTCCTAAATAATAACAAGTATTGTAGGTAAAAGCCAGTTACCCTGTGATAAGCATCTTGCTTGAATATGCTGTGAATATGCTGCACAAGCTTAATCCTGAGTTGGGCAAATCCTCCAGGATTCAGTAATTGTTTTTCCCCATGGGAGGTACAGCAAAATGTGATGCAGATTCCAAGAATTATTTGGGTACCGAAGTCCAGAGCACAGCACAGAAGCCTTGTTCCTCCAATCTAGGATGGCAAAATTTGCAGTGGTATCATTGATCATGAATCATTGTATTTGCATGTGCTTTCTGTGCATTGATCCTTACCCAGCAAAGAGCTATCCAATGAGATCAAAGATAAAGGTACTGTAGCTTATTCCTTTCATATTAAGTGAGTATAGAGGTGCTCTCAGAGGAGGAATGAGCTGTTCTACTCCCGCTCCTGATTAGTGTAGTATTTTGCCAGTTTGTAGCAGCAGGGCCTTGGAAAGTGTTATTTGTGCTGTTAATATTTTGAAAGCACTTTTTGAAAGCATTTGCATTGGCGCTTCCTCAGTCTGATTTCCCAGGATGACAACTAAAGTTATCTGATGAAGGGAACTTTAACTCTCGAAAGCTTATACCCCGAAAATCTTGTTGGTCTCTAAGGTGCTACTGGGCTTGAGTCTAGCTGTTCTGTTGCAGACCAACATGGCGACCCTCTAGAACAAATGTTATGTCCAGGGTTATGGTCAGGGTCCAGCCTACCTCCATATGTTCCCCCAAGGGCACTACGGTCGGGGGGTCGTCATCTCCTGGAAATTCCAGGCCCCAAGGATATTAAATTTGTGGTGACCAGAGCCAGGGCATTTTCGGTGGCAGCTCCTACCTGGTGGAAGGAGCTCCCGGAGGAGATCCGGGCCCTGCGGGATCTTTCTCAGTTGCGCAGGACCTGCAAGACAGAGCTCTTCCACCAGGCTTTCGAGTAGGAGCCACCGCCACTATTACTCCATCATTGCCATCTATGCACCGTCGCACCATCATCACGACTATCTGGCCCCTTTGGGGGTGCGAGGTGCCCCTGGCAGCAAAAGGATGATAGATTTCGGGAAAGTTACCGTTGGGTTTAAGATCTACCCCATCTTGTGACAAATGGAGCACTGTGATTTTGTTACTGTATTTTACTGTTTTATATCATGTGCTTTTATTGTTTTAATCTTGGCACTTTGTGCCCTTGTTAGCCGCCCTGAGCCTTCGGGGTAGGGCGGGATACAAATCTAAAGATAAATAAATAAATATAAATATAAATAAATAAATGTCAGTTTTGGAGACACAGAAACTCCAATGGCTGCAAGGCTTGCATCACACTGCAGCATTTAAACAGATTTATTTATTTACTTCATTTATACTGCATCTTTCTCCCCAGTGGGGACCCAAGCAGTTTACGTCACTCCTCTCCTTCATTTTATCCTCCCAACAACCCTGTGAGGTAGGTTAGGCTGAGCAAGGGTGACTGGGCCAGGGGTACCCACCAAGCTTCCATGCCAGAGTGGGGATTTGAAACTGGGTCTACCAGATCCTAGTCTGACATTCTAACCACTACACCACACTGGCTCTCAGCTTGAAGATGCCTTGACACTCTGACCTGGACCTCTCTTTCCAGGAAAAAAATTAACAGGCCAGAGCACGTGTAGCATTCAGATGCATATGTTGGCATTTGGTGATGGTGCAGATAGGTGCCGATTGCAAGACAGAGCCTTCCCTGGTTGCTTTTCCTCAGCATCTTGGAATCAGAAATATACTGCCTCTCAGAATGGAGGTTGCATGGCTAGACCTGCATTTCTGCTTTGTTGTGACAAGTAATCACTTGGATCCACCAGAGGGTTTCAGTGGATGGAAGGATTTTTACCTGTGGGGTACAGCATTCTAGCCTCCTCTGTTTGGCTGTAGCCCAAAACACCCCTGCATTTTGGACTGCAGCAAGAGGCTTATTTGAACAACAAAAAAATCCCAACATTTTTTTTAAGGTGCAGTCTTGCAACAGGAGGAGGGGAGGTCATGCTCCATGGATCCAGGCCTTTATCTTTGTACCACGTAAGAACTAGCAGTGATGGCTCTGCTTAGAACAAGAGGGCATGGAAGCATTGCTGAGCGCACAGAGCTCACCTCATCAGTCCTCTGGATTCTCTGTATTAAATGACAACTAAATATTAGCATAGGTGTACAGATAAAGCAGTCGGTGAGAGCTGTGGGCGGTCTTCTGTAATTATATGTCTGAATGTTGTCCTTAGTATCTTTTTACCTTATAGCTTTATCAAAGTCTATGTGATAAATCCTTGGTTGTGTGCTATGCAGAGGCTGTTTCTTTAATCACATAGCTCTCCTGTCATTGTTATGTACTGATAAATACTAACAGTTGTTGTTTCTTTCACTTTCTGCAAGGTCATACGGTGAACAAAATGCGCAAGCATTCAGACCAGGATGTGGCCACTCTTGCAAAAGCCGTGTATACAGAGTGGCGAACATTCATCAAAGACCACTCAAACAGACCCTCAATAGAAGTGCGAAGCAGTCCTAAAACAGAGAGCCTTCGAAAGAGTGCACAGAAGCTACTTGCTGAAGCTCTACAGATGGAGGTAATGTTTTTGTTATTAAATGTTAGAAAATAACTTTATACCAATTATCCCCCAAAAAAATCCGGATTCAAAAATACAGATTGTTAATGTTGGCTAAAGATAGCTATAACATTTAAACTGTGTTCACAGTGGGTTCTTCGCAGCAAATGTGAACCAGGCTAGACAAATTTGCCTGACCTTCAAGTGAAATGCTGGTTCAGTGTCAGTCTTGCCCTCTTTCTCTCCACGTTCCATATTTTGGCAAGATGTCTGCCTTTTAAAAAAAGTTGGCTTATTTTTTTAAGTTGCAAAACTGATCTGGGGATTATGTCTGTATGAAGTGGTGATATCACAAGCAGCACTCATAGCCCGCTTTTCTGCATTACAACTGGAGCACAAGGAAATGCTGCTGAACAGGTTTGTTTGTCAAAGTTCTCCCCAACAGAGAAAAGGATGTTTGAATTGAATGCCATGATGGTATTTTCACAGTGGCTTCACTGTTCTAAAAATATTATTCATGTCTTCACCCTCTTAGCCCCTGAGAAAGGAAGACAGTAGTAAAATGTCTAAATAAATAAATCTTTAAAACCCCTAAAAATGCTTTACGGCATGGACGATTTATTTTGTTTTAAGTCAGCCAAAGTTGCTTTGTGATATGGGAGTGAGGTTTGATCTGTACAGTTATTAGAATAGTCAACTTCTTCCCTGAAGGTGCTTTAAGGGAACATGCAATAGTCAGTGATGAAGGAAAGCTGCATCTGTTGCATTTGCTGTTTAGCTGTTAAAGGCACAAGAGTCCTGCTACCAGAAACAAAGTTGGCAATGCAGCTATGCCTTCTGCATTTTGGTTCAGCCGCCAGAACACAGAAGGGGAAAGACAAGTGAGAGAAGACAGATGTCAAGGATGTTGCGAAGAGGGAGAAAGACTCTTGGAGGTGGGAAAGATAGGGGAGTGTGCCAGTGACAGCAAGAACAGACAGTTGTGCATCAGAATTCAGGGCAAAGTTACACTGAAGTTGTATCTTTGGTCTTATAGTTCAGACAAACCTTTCTGCAGATGGATAACACACATCAAATCCTGTGACCAAAAACATGATTTATTAGGACGTTTCTACATAATTTTCCCACCCAGTTTTTGTTTGTTTGTTTCTGTTCTCATGCACTAGAGGTGCAGACTTAATAATCCAGGAATGATTAGTGGGTGCCTTACCAATTAAACTGACACAGGGTTATGTTAGTTGAAGGCTCAGTGGCCATGGGAGCTCTGAGGAGCACTGGTGTAGAAAAACCTGAAGTTCATTTTATGTGGTCCATATGTAAGTCAAATGTATATATCTGTCATTTTTAGAATACACAGAAAAGAAAACCTGCAAATACAGAGTTATACCTGGTATTTTTATGTACTAAATATGCACCTATGCCTTTTAGATGATCTGTAGTTCAAGCAGCTTTTCCCCCTGTAATTAAGTGTTTGGGAACCCAAGATTATCATGAAAAACAAAGGAAAGGGTCAAAAGCATAAAAAGGGGTGGTAAACATCAGATCCCTGTGGTATCCTTAAGTAATGAACACAAGAATTCTCTCTAAATCTTAATGATCAGTTAACCTGCTTTATTAAATTCCATAATAATTATATATTTATTGTGTTCATTAATTATCTTTTAAATAGTGTCAAAGCACTCAAGAATTGCAAAGCAAAGTTCAAAAATAATATGTTTACCATTCTTGTTGGTGCTGGTCAGAAAGCTGTGAATCCATTTTTGCTAAGGAGTTAATGGCAGTTCCTGAAGTTAGCATGCCCAGTTTCACTTACTAGACAGCCCTTAAGTTTGACATATCAATTGGGGCACTTTAGCCTTTAGACAGATGTTTGATGTTGCTGGTCCATGACAATGGATCTAAACTATATTCAACTGGTGGACTGTCCTGGCCCAAATATCCATATATTTTTATTTGTTTGTTTGTTTGTTTGTTCAGTTTATACCCCGCTTTTCCCACCAAGGCAGGCTTAGAGCAGCTTACATAAAAATGCATATATAAGTACAGTTAAAATACATAAAACAACAAAACAGTCAATTATCCATTTTCCTAAAGTGCTGGAAACAATACTCAATTAAAGTGCAAGAGCACTGATTCCTACTACTTAGGTGATAGTCCTGATGGTATTCTAACATCGGCTCAATTTGATCGACTAATTTATGTGGCAAGACAGGCTGAAGGTGGTAAAGCCAGGGCACAGGGTCACTCCTTGGTATTTAAGGCAGCTCCTAATTGAAAGCCTGGTGGAAGAGCTCCATCTTACAGGCCCTGTGGAACTGTAAAATTCTTCAGTACACACCCACAAGGTCTCTCCTTCTTTAAATGAAGACCTGGATGCAAACGTCTAAGTTTAGCTTTAGTGCTGCCGTAAACAGTTGGCTGTGCTGCACCTCCCTGTCTTTTCATCCATTGCCTCTGCGGCAATGCTCTTCTAGTCCTGTGATTTTACTGTTGCTGCACATGCACATGTGTGAAAAAGTCACAAGTGACTAAGGAGATATAGGGCCACCCTTTCCACATCTGGAAATGCACTTACATGCACAGGAAGCATGAAAAACAATCCATAGTGGCCATGTAGAAGGCAGGTGTGGTATTCTGGTTAGAGTGCCGTACTAGGTTCTGGGAATTCTGAGTTCAAATACCCACTCTGCCATGAAATGTGCTGGGTAGCTTCAAATACTGAGCAAGGCTAGTTATATAGCCCCAAATGTAAGGGATTTCCTTCTGCTGAAATCCCTCGAATCTGGCTCCCAGTAACATGAGACTAAATAAGTGTAACTGCTGGCCAAGCAAAAGAACATCCTCATCCAAAGGGAACTTAAAGAGCGAATGGGACAGCAGCCATCTTATTATTTTAATCTTTCCCACGAGAGCTGTTAGTACAAAGACAGAGAAGGACTACATGCATTTTCATGAACCATCAGAGATGAACAGGGGATAATATCAGTAAAGGAAGAGGCAGAATGATTTAACAGGAGTAGGAAAAGTTCAAAAGACATTGTTTAGTGATCTTTGGACCAAGTGAACTAAATCCACAATCCTGCAGACATGTAACATTATAGAATGCAAGAAGCGTCAGTGACTTCAATGGATACTTGTAGCATAATCCCTGCATAAGCTGCAGGTAAGATTAGAAAACGGTAATAACCACACAGGAGGGGAAACAAACACTAGGATAGTAATGTTTGAGCATCCTGACTTCTCCTGAGCTACAGAATTCCTTGGCACTAATAGCAAAAAAGAGAAATAAACACTTTTCTTGGTGGGCAGAAGTTGCCTTTTCATTTATTTTTATATAATTTATTTAGATGTCTCAGCTGTGCCAAATTACATGGCTTGGCACATGTTGAAGCAATAACTTCATAATTAACATTTAGCAAATCCCTTTCCGTTTTCTTAATTACACCTCCTTACATTTGCTCACAGAGTCTACATTTCCCTTTACAGCCCCGCCAGTCAATCCTGCCAAGTATTTAGAGCATCTAGGATTTGGTTTTGGAGCTGAGTTTGAAATGTTATCAAAAGAGTCTTGTATCAGAGAGTGTTACTGGAGGCAGTGCTACGTCGTTTGTAATTGCACTTGAACATGATACCCCAGGATGGCTGCAGATTAGTTTCCTGTTGGGCTGGCAAAAAGTGACTGACCACACTGCCTTGTTCCTTAATTGCTGGAGTGAAATTAAATTGCTCTTCCTGTTTTACTTGTGATGTGAAGTGGATTTCCTTGAATTTGAGCTGATTAAGAAACCAGCCTCCAATTTCAAACAGTTAGTCACCTTATTAAACGTAAGGATCTTATTTCTTACTTTCTGTTTTCAGATTGGTCACCCGCTGGTGGAAAATATTGAGCGAGAAGCTTTTCATCTGTCTTCCCGTCTCATTAACGTGCCCTACCGCAGGACCGTGCGAGCCCTTGTGTTTGCTTTAAAGCACAAGCCTGAAACTCTAGCAAAAGTCCAAAATGGCATGTTGTCACCTAGCACATTTGTACAAAGCCACAAGAAGTGACTCAGGTGCCTGGCACAGGTTTGGGGGGTTGGCATGACTGCATCCTGTAAAGAAATATGGAGCCTCTTCTGTCTTTCAGAGTAACAGAATAACATTAACAGTGGCAATCAGTAACATTAGAGGAACAGGAATATTTCAGGAAGTCCATTGGACACGGTAACAGAATAACATTAACAGTGGCAATCACTCAGTAACATTAGAGGAACAGGAATACTTCAGGAAGTCCATTGGACACCAAGTTTTCATTTGATGGAAAAGGTGTTTTGCAATTCAGAGGGCAAACTAGAATGGGGAAGCCAGTCTTTACCTTATGGTAAATAAGTTCAGCTGGAAACAGACTTGGCCTTACTGATAAACACAGCTCCTCTTGCCTATGGCCAAATACCTACATAGGCTTCTCAGGGATCAGTAGGATGCTTAGAAAAAACTCCAGATATGGGTTGGACTTGTAGGGTGAAGGTTATCCCCACCCACCATCTTCTAGTATGTAAGTCTCTCTCCTCACATATTTCCCTTACCATTTAGAGAAATACCAGCTAGGGAGCTATGGAGGCTGTGCAAAGTGTAACACTCTCAAGTGCCTGTAAGATACATTGTGAGTTTACATGAGGAAGTCACACTGGATGCAACCATCCAACAGTATCATTGACAGATTCTGGTGGTTTAGATGTAGGCTCTACTCTTCTAGAGATTGATATCCTGAAGGTTGGAAGGACAAGTGGCTTCTTTTTGTTGTATGCTACAACTGAATATGAAATTTACTGCATCAAATAGTTTTGTTATATTTGAATATTTTCAAATAATGGCTGTTTTGAATTTGCTGACCTTGTACTGACCTCCCTGTTTTGTACTGTCATATTTTAATTTGCCCTCCAACCTTATACTCTTGTGTTTTTAAAGTAGGTGGCTTTTTTCTACTAGTGATACAAATAAGAACTGTAATGAAATTTCTAACTATAGTGTACTTAAAGTAAATAGCCTTAAAATTGGTCTCTTCGACAAAATCAAAGAATATTAAACTGAGGACAATTGTGTACAGTGTTCATGAAGAGTTCTGACTTAATTCCAAAGATCCTCATAGTTGTTCTGACACCTGGGAACTCAATTCATAAGCCTTGCCTTAAGTCTCCCAATTCAGAGATGCTGTGTGTTGCTTAGCAGTGGTAGCACAGTGTCCATAGCGAAGAACAGAAGAGGTACCAACACAGGGGCAGATAAAAACAAATGGGTCTTTGAAAAGCCAAAGCATGGCATCAAGCGAGAAATGAGAATCTGACAAGACCTTTGAAATCTGTTCATACAAGCAATCCTGGAGGTGATATTCCTTTCAAGCTGAAGAAGAATATAGAAGAACATGACCTTACAAGACAAAAAGAGCTAGTTCTGCTGGGATAGCCCTTTCTGTTGGGATGGGTCCAATCCACACACCCCATCCTACCACTCCACTGAGCAAAATTTGAAGCCTTCCTCCAGCCTAAGGAGCCTTCTCCCTACTCAAGTGGCTCTTCCATTGGAGGAAGAGCACCTCAGGTTGAAGGGAGGCTCCGTGGAGGAGAGTTGGGTCCATCTGCTCTCTTTTAAAGATACATGGCTTCTTGTCTAATGCTGTACTAGAAGGACTGGCTGTTAACAAGTGACTAGCTAGGAAACAAGTGCAAGCTGTTTCTATAGTCATACGTACCAACTGTTGGAGAGGAAAAATGGAGATGAGCCACAATGCAATAAAAGCAGAGGAACTTGCATGTAGTCATATTGGAAGACATGTACTCTCTGAAGGTTTTGCACTACTGATATCCTTTCCATTCTAGCCCTCTTCCTTAATAGGCATCCCACACACTATCAGGCTTGCTAAACCTCTCAATGTGACCCTCTGAATTTGTTTCTTCCCATCCATTACTGTTGCTGCTCTTGTTTGGTGGTTGTCCCAGTAACACCTGCAATTTTTAAATGAAGTTAAGTGGTTTATGCAATATCATAATGGCACCTACCCAGAGAAGCAACTGCATGGGACCAGCAGAGTGATCTAGCATGCATCATAATTTTTCAGACATTGCAAAAAAAGATATGAAAAAGAAAATTACCTACCTAGACATCTTCTGCTCTAACTGCAATCTTAGGAATACTTTCCTGGAAGTAAGATTGAATTAAATGGGACTTACTTCCAAATAGACATGTTTACTATTACTCTCATGTAAATTTCAATCCACCTTGTCCTCATGGTCATGAGGCCTGGCCTGTGGTAATAGTTATAATTGTGAGGTTCAGTGGAGAATTCCCTTTGTGCCTTATCCTGGGAAACCTTGTTGAAATCCTGCTGGTTATCTGACAAAGCTGTTTCTTTCAGTCATGACAAGACAAGCTCAGCTGCTCCTGCAAACTCCTGGTAGCCCAGCAAAAATGTTCCCATCTCAGCAACAGTCTCTCCCTGTGTAAGGAGATCAGTGCTTAGAGAACCTGGCTCACACAGGGCATCTGTCTTGGCTAAAAACACCTCTTAGCATCTCACCCAGTCAACAATCCTCTTTCTCCACCCCGCTGCAATCCTATTAACTTTGCAGGGGCATAACTAACCCTTTCATGCTGTTAGGCCTTTGACTCAGGAGACATAACTTGAGCTCAGTTACCTGCGCACACAAGTTGTGACACCTTGTGACCTTTGAGGGTATGTTTCATCCATGGCTAGGATTGCCATGTTGCTGCTCAGAGCTCCTGCTTGCCTAAAAGTGCCCCCCAGAGAAGTGTGGTTTTTCTTCCTCCCTGCATCCCTCTTCTCCCTGCCCTCCTGCCTGCAGCAGCAATTAAGGGTCTCATGTTGCCCCACTGCTGGTAGGGAAAAGGATCTGACAGTACATACGATCCAGGGAGGAATGGACAAGTGGGCATAATCATCTGTTGTGCCTATGTTAAAACACACACAGGAACTTCGGATTGTGACCTGAGAGCCCTATACAGCTTACTGTCTATCAGCAAGAGTAAAACAGATGTCATTAGCAAAAAAAAAAAGTCCCATGCATATCTGCTCAGAAGTCAGTCCCACTGAGTTCAATAGGATTTAGTCCCATCTATAAGCTTTACTTCTCTCTGCATCATTAATAGGAAAAGTCTTTGTCAACAGTCATTATAATGTGTATACATTTACACAGGCAAAATCCTCTCTTTTGTTCATGTACCCAAAATATACAAAATGGCATTTCTGTATCTTCTTAGAAGTAACCACTTTAATCTGAGCTTTCTGATAAATAGAAAAGAAACAAATAGTATAATACAGTTGTTGTTGTTGTTGTTAATTAAATTCATTAATTGCCCTATCCCAGGTTGTGCTGAGCTCTGGGCGATGTAGATGGGAGGGGGGGGGGAATGCCACAAAAACAAAAGTTCTAAGTCAAGGATGTGCTATTGGCATAGAGAATCAACACTATCAAGACAGTTCTTTCTCACTGTGATTGGTTTCCCTCTGCCCCAGATATCAAAAGCTTCTTTTCCATATTGTAAATTTAGAGCCAATATAATTGTTTATTTTAAGTAGGGGCAACATCGGAGAATCATACCTCCATAAGCCTCTTCTTTTTAAGGTGTAATTCACTATTGCTTCCAAATTAAGAACAAAGACAGAGCTAAAATGAAATTGTCTCTACCAAGGTGTTACCTGCAGCAAATGTTGATGATAAATTAAAAGTCACTGAAAATAGTTCTACAATTATCACTTTATTATAACCCAATTTCAGAGTACATTGGTTAGATCAGCATGGCTTGTAATGAAAGCTGGGCAAAGAGGATATTTCCAACATTCTTCCTGATTAGAATATACACAAACAATTATCTTGAAGGAGATAACTATTATCTTTATGAAAGGTAAGAATGGATACAATGGCTGAAATCAGATCCTGAAATAAGGAGCAGCATAACTCCAGAAGATGGGGTGTTTGTGAAAATACAGAACTGAATATGCCCTTCAGTGCATTCTAGCTGAGAACTTATCAACACAACTTTGTGGTGTTTTGAAACAGTGTCAATTGACTTCAATGAGAACTAAATGTTAAGTGGATTTTCTAGTACTGTCTGCTCCATTGCAAAACACAGGCATTTCATTATGCCACTAAAAACCATTTGGGCTTTTCTCTGCATTGTAACTTCTTGTGACTAGCATACATATTTGATTTTGTAACGAATGTCTTCTGCTTTCTCTCCTGAAGAATTACATGTTGCAGTTCTACTGAAGAAACCTTTAAAATGCGTGGATGGGGGGAATCCTTACTGGGAGCCATTTGTTAGTTACTCTGAAGTGTTTGGGATAGAACAGCAAACAAAAATACATGAATATATATCTGTCACAGGTGTCCACAAATGCCTTATAAAAGGACCAAAGGCAGTTTGAGTGCTACGTTGGAATAAGAGATGTCTGTCATTCCCTGACTCAGCAACTTCTTTGTATGCCCTTTTGATGCTATTACCCCATAATGAGAGGGAGGTGTCCTTGAGCCCTTGGACTAGGCCAGTAGGTGACTTGGCCACAGCACTGATTCCAAGGCTCAGCTCCTCCCTGCAGTGAAACAGGTTCTGGCCAATAGTACCCCCTCCCCCCCAAAAAAGACATGCCATGAAAACAAGCATTTCAGGGGGAAGCTTTTAAAGGCTAACTGTCTCCAACTGTACACGGTGTACTTAGCTTTCTCCAAGTATACATATATTAGAAGGAATATTTTCTAATTCTGACAATATAATTAGTGGGAGCTTGCCTGTTTAATAACTACTTACATCCTGATCCAGATAAGGAGATCTGTGCTCAGAAGCAGCTCTCCAGATATGTACCACTTGCTGGATCACCTAACCATTAGCCTCAGTGGACTGCATATCTGAATACAGATGTCTGTCAGCACCACATTGGTTAAGCAGATGTGCACTTGGATAAAAACATAAGACCAACCCTGCCAGATCAGGCCAGTGGTCCATCTAGTCCAGCATCCTGTTTCACACAGCAGTCAACCAATTACCCTGGAGGGCCAACAAGTAGAACTAGAGAGGCCAAGGGAGTCCCCTGATGTTGCCTCCTAGCTGTGCTATTAAGAGGTTTGCTGCCTCTGAAAATGGAGATTTCCTTTACTCTCCTTTGTTGGTAGTCATTGATGGACTTCTCCTCCATGAATCCATCT